ATTCTGCACAGTAAATCATCTGGTGGAGTGACGATAGGATTACCGTGGGGTAATGGATTAAAGTATACACTTAATTTATAACTGAACTAGCTGGCTTACCCGGCTCCGCCGTATCCGGACCAAACTTGGCACACATACACTTCGGGCCCCGGCGCGTGTCACAGTCCACTTTTCGTTATCGATCGATGTCGATTTTACCGATTTTTATCGATTTTTTCGCAGAGTTCACCTACAGGGCTAGGAGTTGGCACAGGGGGGAAGTGAGCATGGGGATTCCGAATACAATATTGGTTTTCAGAATTATCGGTTACTTTTATTGATTTTATCGATTTTTTGTAAATTTTGACATGCGATGCTGGGATTTTGCACAGGGGGGTAATCGAGCATGCCGATTACGAACACAATATTAGTTTTCAGGATCGTCCATTACTTTTATCGATTTATCGATTTTTTCGTAAAGTTTGACCTGCGGGGCTGGGAGTTTGCACAGGGGGGTAATCGAGCATGCAGATTACGAATACAATATTAGTTTTTGGAATTATCCATTACTTCTATCGATTTTATCGATTTTGCAAAATTTGAGCTAGGGGGCTGGAATTTGGCACAGGGGTGTAATCGAGCATGCTGATCACCCCCTTGGGGATGATCAGCATGCTCGATTGCCCCCCTGTGCCAACTCCCAGCCTCCTAGCTCAAACTTTGCAAAAAAATCGATAAAATCGATAAAAGTAATCGATAATCCCGAAAACCAATATTGTATTCGGAATCCCCATGCTCGATTACCCCCCTGTGCGAACTCCCAGCCCCGTAGCTCAAACTTTGCAAAAAATCGATAAAATCGATAAAAGTAATCGATAATCCTGAAAACCAATATTGTATTCGGAATCCCCATGCTCGATTACCCCCCTGTGCCAACTCCCAGCCCCGTAGCTCAAACTTTGCAAAAAAATCGATAAAATCGATAAAAGTAATCGATAATCCTGAAAACCAATATTGTATTCGGAATCCCCATGCTCGATTACCCCCCTGTGCCAACTCCCAGCCCCGTAGGTGAACTCAGCAAAAAAATCGATAAAAATCGATAAAATCGATATCGATCGATGACGAAAAGTAGCCTATGACACCCGCCGGGGCCCGTAGTGTATGTGTGCCAAGTTTGGTCCGGATCGGTTCAGAAATGGAATTTTCTATTCGGAACATACGTACATACATACATACATACATACAGACATACAAACAGACATTCAGCTTTATATATAAGATAATACCTGCCTGAAATTTCGTCTGGAGGGGTGGGGGAGGGTATTTAGCATGCTGGTAGATTCGTGCGGTAGCACCACTCGGGTTACGGTGGGCATACGACAGGGTAGAATTTCTGACTTTGCTCAAAATCAAAACAACGCTAATTATGAGTTACGATGTGTTAGTATACGATGAACAAGTTTTCCGCTTTCCGGCTCAACTTTCATCGGAGATGCATGGAAAGGCTTTCTTATGCGAATGAGATCAGGAAGTCAGATAGCCTCACTTCTCCCTCCACCCCCTCACCGCCCCGCCACACAAAGTTTCGGCACGCCACCATCTATTCCAACCGCGCTGCTGCGCGGGCGGTCGCGCGGCAGCCTAAATGGCGCGAGCGTGCAATCCTTCCTAGCGGATGTTGTCTTTATCAGCTTTTTATCAGAGTAATTTTTGTTAATAGGGAATTTTAGGTCACTGTCGATAGAATGCGCAAATACAATGCTAGTAAAGGCAAGGACTCCCTTTGCTAGTTACGCTATGCTACATCCTGTAATTAGGTGAATGAGTACCCTTCAGATTTCAAATAAGCTTATTCGTTTGGCTAGTCACTGATTTTTGCCTGAGCAGGTATTGTAACCCTACCGTATCTCTACCAGACAACAACATTTGAAATAAATATGTATTCTCAGCAGGCAAAATAACCTTGAACGAAATTCAAACGAGATCCGCGATTTTCATTTGGGTCAACTAGGTAATATAGCATACCGCCTGCTCCAACCGGAAATAGAACGTAGATTCGATTATTTTATGTGAAGCTCGCGCCTGCTTCGTAAGGGCCTTCAAACGGCATCGACGTCCGCTTAGAACTGGCATTCTGCCAACAGATTGGAGTGAAGGACACAGCAAATGTCTTTCCACATATGATACAGACTACTGGTGCGTTGCGAAGCAGACTTACGTTGAAGTCTATTTGAAACAGAGTGTATTTCATCTTGTGTTGTAATCAGCTTCACATTCATATTCTTTGTCTCATTTGTCATGAGCCCGACTCGACCGGCTCGGATCCCGAGCTGTCGCCTGAATTGTGCGCCGCATTCGAAAACTTGACAAGTGGTCATTTTCCCGCGCTTGAGTGTGAACAGGCTCGAATTCTAGTCATTACTCAGACGTGGAAATTGCTTTGAAAACACGTTAACGAAAGCGATGCAAGCTCAAGCGAGGCGGATGCGCGAGGCCGGAGCCGCTCTAGTCGGGCTCACTCCAAATGAGACAACGGGTAACTACATAGCAGTCTCTCTTTAAGCTACGACTCCAACAGACGTGGTCGTAGCAAAAGGGGATTTGACAACTGCGAGATTTGTGGATCCAAAGTGGAAAGTAGTGTGTGTTTGAGAGCTAACCATGATCTCGCCATTTTATCAGTCATGGAATATTATGTGTTTGTGAAGCATGAAATGCAGTTCATGAAAGGCATCGTAACGGAGGTAATGCAGGAAAACGACGGACATTCAGCAGTTATCAATTTGGAAATGTTGTAGGTAAAATCAAGGTTGTGCTGTACGGTAAAATGGGACAATGGATGGTGGACGCATTTTCCACAGTCCTCACTTCGACTGGCAACATTGCAATAGATTTGTGGACCATTGTTGTCTCATCACCAGCAATTTGGCTTCGTATTACAGTATACGCTGATTACTGAGCTCTAAATCTCTACCCAATAAAGATACTTCAGGATGACGAGATAAGCTTTGGGAACAGTACTTCACAGTTCACCAACAGCTACCGCAAGATTAGCGGAATAATGTCGTTGTTTACAGAACTCAGAATCTAGATAAATCAGCTTAACACCATCATTTCCTTATAAATAGAAACTCAGACAACCAAAGGGAACTTCCGCCGAACACAACATATTTGCAGCGGTTTCAGTTATTATGTAAATTATCATAGAAGTTCAATCGCGGAAAACACGAACTTCCGCAGGAATTTGACGCCACACTGATTGAAAATGGAGTCATGCGCAGCACTTTCCATAAAGGGCTGCGGATGTTCGTTCGTTTAAAGAATGACCAGCAAACTTCCGGTCAATTGTCTGAGAATGCCTTAGTTACAATATGTATATGGTAGACAGTTTTTCAGTTAGAGTAAAGTATGTGCATCCTTTCACCATAGTACTGCTGCCTCCCGTATACCTAACGTCTGTTTAACACCAAAAACATCTTCCTTGTGTATGTGTTGGATCAGGTGGATAGCTCCTGTTCAGTGTTTATAAATCTAGCTAGTTGTGAAGCTATAAGTTTTTTTTACAATGAGCAATTTTACTGCATTACTTCTATGAGTTCTAGAAGAAATCAAGATTATCAGAAAAAAACTCCATGTAAGGTAACTACAAAAAACTCCATGTATGGTAACCTACACCAAGGAGTCTAGTTTACTACTGGGAATAAGGCTAAACCTCACCTGTTGCGTGTTGGTATATCTAGTATTTTGCAAGCGCTATTATATGTCCATCAAGTCCAAGACCAGTTTTTAAAAATCTTGAAAATGCATGATATCATGGCATATAAGTTGTAGTCCTTACTATTTGCTCAGCATACTGGGCCGGTGAGTTTCGGCTGCTCACGTAATACGCCAGAAGGTTTTTCATTTTCTTTCTCTTGTCAAACCCTTTTCTGCCTCAATTTTTAGGCTCACAGTCACTTGAAACGATTTCAAGAAATGTGAAGATAATTTGATTTCTCTAAGTGGTCCAGGGCTTGGTGGAGTATCGCGTGAGCGAAGTCCAGCCCTGCTTTTGCGATCTGGCAAAGCCCTATGATCAAATTTTGAAGAGAATGAAACCAAGAATGAGAGGATCCTGCAGCGCTTCAAATCTGGATTCATTATTCAGAATTAGGATGAACAGTCGATACTCAGACCATTATATGGTGGATGTTCACGATGGAATTCTGACTTCAGTGAAGCTAACCTATTAAAAAATTATCCTGTAAATTGCTACATCCAATCTGTGCTGGGATGACAATTTGAAGTATTCGAATCACTGTGAGATGATGAAAGTGAATACAGTAATGGTTTGAGAGCAGCCTTCACAAACGATCTTAGATCTCCGGACAATCCATGCTGAATGATAGTTGACGTGAACATCTCAGAAAGTACGATCCAGTGGTGGATCATGCATATTTTGGTTTTTTGTCGTCTTTACGATGAATTTCTCGGGGGAAGTGTGCAGACTTTTGAACCGCTTCCTAGAAGACTAAAATTTAAAGCTTTGAGACCCATATACGGGTCATTCTAAGCTCTGGTCCAAAATAATAGTTGAAAAAGTTGCTTGTTCTATACGTGTTAAGCACTTAAACACTTGAAACAGGTTTCCTTTGTAAAAAAATGTCCTTACTCTGAAAAAAAAAAGATCAGGTACCTTTTGCGTAGATATGAAAGTTCGGCTGATTGGAAAGTTCGGCTGATGAGCAATGTACGATTATTCAACCTTTCACTTTTAACGAATAGTTTAATTTTATTTTTCCGGTGTATTCAGAGATCTCTCTGCAGTTGCCCAGCGCAGGCAGGGCAAATTTTATCTTAGTCTATAGAAAAGCTGGGATAGGGGCAGAAATGCAACAGTGCACCATTGCTCGTCATAGTGTGGTTTTTTTCTAACAGAATGAAGAGTAAAAAATCTCTTGGAAAGGTTCGCACCCTTTTCCTGGAGTCTTGCGATACAAAGAATTTCAGCGCATTTGAGCATCATTTGAAATTTCGGTGTCATTTGCTCATTCACAAGCACAACATCTGCGCAGTTTCCATGACTCATTCGTCAATTTCCATCAGCTCCAAGTGGCCGTCAACATGGTAGGTTTTATGATTGTGAAAGGAAATCAGATAAAAAGCAGTACTTTTCATTTCCCTTTTTTTGTAATGACTACTTGAATTATGTCAGCTGGCTACTGTGTAAATTTTGACAAATGAAAAAAATCTTCAGGCAGACAAAAACATATCTCCCAAACGCACGCGTGTAAAAATCAACGTTGGAGGTACAGTTTTTGAGACCTACCTTTCTACTCTCACAAAAGTGAATGATAGTGTAAGTTGGAGCGTGTTTTCGTGTTTATCACTATCATTTGATATTTGAAGGTGCTCTCCGCTATGATAGCCGAGGAAATGCAAAATGGGGATGAACTGTTTATAGACAGGAATCCCCTCCTTTTTGCAAAAGTCAGAAAATTCATTTCGCAATCTTAGTATGAAGTTTCTCAGTTCAGGTACTGGATTATCTAAGAGATGAAGAGCGTTTTGTTCCTCCGCCTGAGGATGATGCCAGAGAAGCACTTCGGAGAGAAGCTGAGGTCTGCTTTTGATAAAAAAAGAGCATTTCCCAAAATGTCATTTAGTTCTATAAACTGCCCGAGCTCGTCAAAAAGTGTTTGCCCGAAGAAATTCGTTTTGGTGATGATGTAAAATGGAAGGAAAGCGCTATCGATTCGTATTGGAAGGTTTTTGCCATGTAAGAAAAAGTTGATTTTTCGTAATAAGCTCTTATGTCTGTGCAAAAATGCATGCGTTTGAATAGAAATTTTTTTGAATAATTTTATACCGTAGCGTATCTTTTTTGAGGGCTTTGGGCGGACCCAACTGCACAGTTTGTTCCGGAGAACTGGAGAAATGTCTGTTTCCTAAATTTCTGAAGTCGCGAGATGGGACACTAAAGGATGAGTATTGCCTGCCACTGAAGCATCAGATGCGCCTCATGAAAGGGGTAGTGTCAGCGGAAGTATGTGCTACAGTATATACCACTTCCTTTTTCTTAGAAAACCTCGACTTTTCCAGCCTTTTGGGAATGACTTTGGCTGTCTCGTCAAATGGGAGCATCCCTATAATCCGTACGTGATGCACATGCCAACGTGTGCATTGCGTTTAGCGAAGTAATACATTCTTTTCTATTTAACATTGCTCGTGGTTTGAACTGAGCTTTGTAAACTCTATGTGTGTTCGACCGCCCGAAAAACCCAAATGCATTTCGATAAATCATGCTAAAGCGTTGTTGAAATATGAAATAGTTGATGCGGTCACCGAAGAAAATATATCGTGAATGATGACCAAATTTTGCACCCACAATCTTTTATTTAACCATGCTTTAAAAAAACGCAAACGGTTCCGAGTGTAATTGCGCTCAAGTGCAACTCATCTAGGTTTATAAATCATTTACTATCATAGCATGTAAACCCTATAATGTTTATGATCTCTGCTCAATATTACAAAGTGAGTATTTCTGAAAGATACTGCTTGATCCAAAAGAAAAACAAAACTAGGTACGCAGCGAGATACAAATGCTTTCTATTCGCAACTGTGCGAAAAAGATTCGAGAGGGTGATAAAGTTATCTCACAAGGGAATGGTCAGAAGTCGAAGTGGCCAAACCAAACAAGCTGTATACCATTCGATGCAGTATGAAACGCTGACTTCGAATCTGTCTTTCTTATCTGCTTCCCGCTTCTGTGGACGAAGCTACAAGCCATTAAAGACCATTATTTTGCTAAGAAATTACGCGTGAAATTGAAAATTTAGCCGTGGTGAGCCACGTTAGTCTTAATGCTGGGCCAAAACATGCAGTTAGCCTACTTCGAATTTTTAAAGAAAGAAGCTGAGCTAAAAGTGCAACAGTGTGCTCAATTTCGCTGTATTTATGTGTGATTTTTTTCACAATAAAACCTCTTGTAGCTTCGTCCACAGAAGCGGGAAGCAGATAAGAAAGACAGATTCGAAGTCAGCGTTTTATACTGCATCGAATGGTATACAGCTTGTTCGGTTTGGCCACTTCGACTTCTGACCATTTCCTTGTCAGCTACAAAAAATGAACTTCATGGTATGCACACAAAAATGCAGAGCTTTGAAAAGATTACACGTCAAAACAGAAAAAATTCGGGAATAAACTCCAGGTTCTCTATTCTCTGAATCTGGGCATCTTATGTCGTAATTTGAGGTAACAGATGTTCTGCCAAGCCCAGATTGGTACCGGCTTGGATTGCGCCGTACCAATCTGGGCTTAGCAGAACCTCTATTACCTCAAATTTGGCAATGTTCAGCATTTCTCTGGTATTCGCAAACCTTTGTATTTCAAGAACTACCCAAGTTCTGTGCACGATACAAAATACTTGCATGATCTTTGACACAGATACGCAGATGGGCTTATTAAAGAGAGATTTCAAATTGCTTACTTCGGTTACGATTCAAGAAATCTGAGAGGATCTTGGTACAAGGAGCCACTGAACGCGTCAAACGATCTCTTCTTTGCCTAAGGCCTAAGGCATACCTTTCGCGATTTATTATTTAATTATTTAGTAATGCGCTCGTAGGCGCGCCAAAACAAAGAAGCAACTAAATCAAGACACTGAAGATATCAACGGTTTCCGCTACAGAAGTCAAAAAGGCTTCTTCTAGGGGTGGTCAGGTCGCTCTCCTTGTAGAAGGTGAGAGCCTTTCACCGAAATCCTGTTCCCAAAGGTCCTGGACGCAATAACTGCAATAACAAACCAGGGCTCGGATGACCGACTTAACCCAAGACGAACGCATTCGTCAGGGACCCTGGGCGAGCGGACTAGGGGGGATCTCAAGGCAAAAGGATCGCCAAACTTCAGTCTCCTCGAACGGCTATCCCCGCTGAAGAAGCTGCGAAGCAAATAGAATGTTAGCGGAAAGCGAATTAAGGCGGAGTGAGCCAAAAATCGAGTCTGAAAAAAAAAACAAAAACAAAAAACAGCCAGACACATATGGCCGATACGGCCCATCAAAAAAAACCTGAAAACAGGTTAGCCAAAAAACCTTTGTGTGATATGCAACATTGGTAAGGCCTCTGTGGAAGTGGTAGTGCTGAAATAATTTTATCTAAACATCAGCAATTCCCAGAGTTTCTAAAAGATTGATTTGAGCTAGCTTTTTACGAAAAATTCTTGAGTTGATGCTAGAGGTGACTTCACTTGGAAGAAGATTCAGCCACCTGGATGTTCGAAAAATAAAGGAATTGAAAATTCTAGAAAATATTTTGCTTTTCAATTTACGGTAAGAGATGTGAAGACCTCCTGTTCTGCTTCCACAGGGCCTGAAAATCCAAAACTTACTAGGTTTCAATCTTGTCTCTAGTCTGAATAGGCGAAAACTGAAGACAAGATCATTGAAAATTCGCCTATATTTTAAACTGTGCAGATTCAATGCCAAAAGTCTGGATCTGTAAGATGGCAAGGATTGGGGGTAATTTGGATCAGGAAAACATCTGTAAAAGACGATTCTGGTGAATGTTTTTTGGACCCTTTCCAGAGAATTTATGTCTTTTTTCAAAAACGGATTCCACGCGGGCGAAGCGTACTCCAAGTGCGGCAAAACATAGGTTTTATATAGTTTGACTAAAATCAAGGGATCATTGCAATGAATACTGCGCAAGATGACGAAGAGACTTGCAAAAGCTTTTTTGACAATCGATTCATAGTGATGGGAAAATCTCAATTGATCGTCTATAAGAACTCCAAGATCCTGGGTGGTAGTGCAACATTCAAGAGTGACACCATCACACGAGTAAGATGGAGAATGAGAAGTACCAAAATGCATAACTTTAGTTTTAAGAGCATTTAGGGGAAGATCACATTCTTTGGACCAACAAACCATCTTTTGAATGGCCGAAGAAACCGCTTCAAATGCTTCCTTTTGCTGATGGTTTTGGTAACAATAATACAATTTGATGTCGTCCGCGAACATCTGAATTTTGATTTTGGGATGAGTCTTGAGGTATGAGGGCAATTCGGCGGTATAGGCTAGGAAAAGGAGTGGCGACAGTATGCCGCCTTGAGGAACTCCACTCTTGCAACAGTATCTCTTCGAAAAGCTGTTTCCGACACGGACTATCATACCCCTGTCCTGCAGGTAAGAAGATAGCCAAGACAGCAGTTGACCCCGAATCCCGTAATGTTCTAGCTTAAGGAGTAGCTTGCGATGATTAACCCTATCAAATGCCTTGGAGAGGTCAAAAAATATGACATCAACTGATTCGCCATTGTTCACTGCAACAAGCCAGTCATGAACGGAGTCACAAAGTGACGCTGTTGTGGAACCCCCTGCCAGAAACCCGTTCTGCTCAACTGGAAAAACTTTGTTTTTTTCAAACCAGTCACAAAGCTTGTCATTGATAAGCTTCTCGAGAATCTTGCCAGAGGGAGCTGTTATGCTAATTGGACGGAAATTAGAAATGTCGGTGATTCGGTTACGCTTTGGGATGGCGGTGACTAGGGCCTCCTTCCAGACCCTAGGCACTCTGCCCTGTTGCAAGGAGGCATTGAAGATCAAGGAGAGAGGGAAACAGAGTGCACTAGCGCACTTACGGTAGAGTATTTGGGGAATACCATCATAAGATGAGCTTTTCCTCGGCTTTATCTTTGTTAGAATTGCATAAACTTTTCCTGAGTCTATAGTCAAATCTGAGCAAGCAACTGATGGACAACTGGAAGAAAAATTGATAGTTGGAAGATCAGAGGCTGCAGTTTCATTTGCAAAAAAACCAGCGAAATAGCTTCCAAGAGCTTCAGCCTTCTCTTTTTCACTTATAAGCAGATTACCATGCTCATCCAACAAGCTATTAATTTTTTGTTGGCCTTTAGTTTGGAACTTGAGATATCGATAGAGCTCTTTGACATTGTATCTGGAAACTCGCCTTTCTCTGTTGGCTAGGTACTTCTTCACATGATAATTGATGTCTCTACAGACCTTTCTGTACAAATGATTGCTCAAAGGATACAGTAAATGAGAAGAAAGCTTGTTCTTTTGTTCTAATAGGTTTTGAATATGAGCGGGGTATTTCTTTATCGGAGTTTGATCAAAGCGGAACGGCACATACTTAGCTAGAATGGAGTAAACAACGTCACAGAAACGATAATAGAGATCATCAACGGTATCACCAATTAAGATGCGAGACCAGTCAGTATACAGAAGAGCTCTATTGATATCAGAGAAAGCGGCCTTGTTGAAATCCGGATAGGGAACAAAACAGTTTTTTTGAAGGTCAAATGCAGTTTCAAAATATATGATGTTATGATCGGATGTTCCAAAAGGAGCTATGGATTTTAAGTTTTGGATTTGGCTGTTGGAGGAAAAAATCAGATCGAGAGCAGCCTTCCCTCTTGTGGGGAAGCCAACGTGTTGATGGAGACCACAGTCGAGAAGAAAAGAGTAAAGTTGAGATTGGCAACGGATGGACGGAGACAGGATATCTATATTAAAGTCGCCTAGTACGATTGTGCTAAAAGGTAGTGAACATAAATCATATATCGAGTCAGCCAATTTGATATCGTCATCAGAACTAGAAGAAGGCGGACGGTAGACGACAATTAATCTCAGAGGTGTTGAGGAGGTGGCCGACCAAATGTCAACACAAAGAATATCGGATTTAAGCTCATTAGCAAAAGTGATTTTCTCCACCGCATACTCCTCCTTGACAAAAATGCAGACACCTCCACCTTTGCTGCGCGTCCTGTCTATACGGTAGAAAGAATAAGGCATATCCGATATGATTTCAGAATCCGTGATGTTAAGATTAAACCAAGTTTCAGTAACACATAAAATGTCCGGAAAATAATAGGCTAAAAATGCGTGTAACAAATATATCTTATTAACTAGACTACGGGCGTTAAAGAGGAAACATCGAAGAATCCGAGCTGATAGACCGTGCCGGCTTAGGCGTTTTCCGGAAGATGTCGGTGAGGGAGTTCGGAGGTGTGCCGCAGCTCACTCTTATAAACAACCCACTCTCTAACGGGTTTGCCCTTATTTCTTTCTCGTGCCTGCTTTCTAAGCTCAAACTCTTGAGCTCGTTCTGACGGGGTCATACTTTTACGTATGAAAATATTAGGGAACCCCGACCGTCTCAGAACGTGGGCATTCGAAAGGGCTTGGACCCAATGAGTGCGGGATGGGAAGACGACTTTGACGAGACGTGGTCTCGTTCCCTCATATTTACCCATCCTATAAATCTCGGTGGGCCAGCAGTCCACACTTAAA